AATAATTGTTTGAAAGCTTCATCATTTTCAAGTTGAATAACTTCTTCAAATCCGTATAGTTTGTTATCCTTTAAATCAATAGAAATATCCTGATTTAATGCTGTAGAATCGATTGATAGATTTAATGATATCTGATCGGAAGAAGAAATCCTTTTCTTACTTGATGATTCAAAAAATCTATGTGCTAGTGTGATGAGAATGTGGAATGATAGATCACTTGTTGATGTATTTTTTTTCAAAGTTTGTTTTGAAGGTATTGGTGCACCATTTAACCGAAGAAAGTCAATTCCGTTCGTATTATTATTCAATGTTCTTTTGAATAAATTGATAGTTTCTGCTGAAAATTTCTTTTTAACCACAAACATATTTTGAATCCAATCAAGTTTGATTATTTCCTCTGTCGTCAATGTATTCTTGCTTATTAGCTCCTTGATGCAATCAATTGAGGATAAAAATCGTAATTGAGAGGTGTTTAATTTTTCCTTAAACTCATTCTCTTTTGCTTGATAGTGCAATATTCTTGCATAAGCATTTTTCGAACTTGCCTTAATATTTCTTTTTTTTTGTAAGTCTTTAACAAATAATAATTAACAATTAAATCAAAAAATAATTTAATCACTCGTACCTTTTTGTCGTTTTTCTTTTTCTTGTTGTAATTGTTCTTCCTTCTTTCTTTTTTTCTTTTCAGATTCATGTTGTTCAGCTTTTTCCACCAATTCTCTTGTAATTGTAAATGGTGCGGAATCCTCATAAGTGTCCACCAAATAGTTTCTAATTAAAGAATGCGTTCTTTCAAATACTTTCTGTTTTTCTGATGATTTCTTATAATTTTTTAATTTGGATTTCACATTAGACAACTTATACGGAGAACCTAACTTAATATTGGTCTTTGATATGGGATCATAAACTTCAAAGGGATTTTGTAATTCAAACTGAACCTTAAAATGCACTTCGTCTTCAACCAAAGCCTCTAATTTTTCGATAAACTTGTCATCTTTGTTCTTGACCTTTGGTTCTACATCTTGTTTTGGTAAAGCATGAGCTGTGGAACAATCAATGATTATTCTTGCAACCCTAATATTAATTCCAATTTCAGCCAAACTTTCAGCACTTTCAGATTTCAAACAATTTGGAGTTCTAATAAAGTTCTTGTTCAATAAATCATTGATTTCTTTTAATTCTATGTCTGTAAGACATTTAATTTGTTGGACTATACCTAGCAGTTCTTCCATTTTTTAAATTGAATTAATCATTAATTATTATTCAGAAACTCAAATTTATTCTATTTTTATCTGGATAAATCTGATTTTATCCAGAATAAATTTGAATTTTAGGAGGTTGCAGCCACTTTAATTCGACAAAATTCTGAAAATCCAGCGCTGGCTAGAATATTAGGATACATAACACCCTCTCAGATATTCATGAGTGACGAAATGACCTTGGGTCATGAATCAACACGTTCATGGTATTTTACTAAACAATAAGATTCAAGTTACATTGCCAGTTTTCTTTTTCATGAAATTCAAGTTTTGATCGCTTGAATTAACACTTTACAAAATCCAATCAATACAATAATAATATATTAACATTTCATCATTGTTATTTATCATCATTATAATAGTAATATTTGTGGAAAAATCTGATAATAGTATTATTTTAGTGAAATTCAATATCACTGCCAGATTTATATGATAATTTGGAAAACTTTCAATCTAGATTCGTTCATCATGGTCGATTCCACCAGGTAAAATCACTTCAGAACATTGAACATTTTCCTATTGGTTATCATGAAGTCAGATACATGTATATTTTCAACATGTACATGGACCATATTTCATCACTTCTATTCAAATACATAATAAACAATATATTTATTATCAGATTTTCATCATTTTGTGTTTTTGCCAACTTCGGGTTATTCATGGTCACCAATCATGATTCATGCCAAAAGTACACAGCCAATCATCTTGAAACATTAATAAACTTTTATTAGTACTATTGTAGATGTACCATATCAATTATTTCGTCTTGTTTCGTTGAAACCATGAAGATTTTGATTTTTCTGTTAATTAAATTTCACATCACCTTCATTGTCTCTATGATGAAAAGTATATAGGTAGGATGTCAGATGCTTCAGGTGCCTGGAATCCAATTGACACTTTAAGAATGCCAAAAAAGTCAATTTAGGATTTGTTGGTCATGTGGCCAAACTTTGCGCCAGCCACAGTTCTCACAAGGGTTTGAATATGATTCTAGATGGGGATAGATCAGAAACGGTTCAGTTATCAGAATCGAATAGAAATGTGGTTGAAAATCCAACAGTTAAAGAAACAAATTTCGAATCCTATTTCAATGCCTTCAAGAATAGTTTCCAAAATTTGATGGGACCAAACTTTGACAATGCCTACACAAGAAAAGAGTACCAAATTATTGACACATGCTTTATATGGATTATGTTTGTGTTTTTTTTTTGCTAGTAAGTTCGTTTATTTAAACATAGTTGTTTGGTAAAGTTGCTGGTTGATGTATGTGGTTGCATCTTTCTATCCACATTGCGTGAGTGAATTTAATTATTTCTATTTGAATTTCTTGTGCTTTATCCCAGGCCTCTAATGTTTGGTAGACTTCTTTGGGAAGTATTCCAATATAAATGGTTGAATATTTAGGGATAGTGTTGGATTTCAAGTGGGTTACTAGTATTTTTCTGATTGTTTCTAAAGGTTTTTTGGTTATTTGTTGGATATTGTCTTCTAGGCTTCTCCATAATCTTTCACGAAGATATTCAGTTTTCTTGCAGTTGAAAATGGCGTGTTGAGTGTTCTCCTCTTCCTTGCAATCTTTTATAGGGCATCCATTACCTGGTGTAAAGATGTTGTTTGTTGGGAGACTGGGTTTTGGTACCTGTCATTATCTCTCTGGTTTGGGATCCGCACATGCTCAGGCTCAGATCTTATAGCTTATCGATGTGATGTATAATAGACTGATCTACATGTGGTAAAAACAGGAAGGTGTAACTTTCTATATTTATTGAGATAATCAATAAAGTTTGGAATTTGTCAGAAAAACTTGCCCTCTCGCCAAGAATTCATTTTGCCATATTTGGGATCTGGACTTTTATAGTCTGGAAATAGGCTAGATGTGTTCCATATTCAATAATCTATATGAAAAAAAGAAGAAATAAAATTAACTCTTGAATTGAGTATATAACGACTATTGATATTACTATATATGGTATTTGGATAATAACTTTCACAGAAATCATTAATGAAACATAAATTGTACTAAAGTGTGTTAGAAACATAATGGTGGTGAAACTGATCAATAACTCGTCGAAATGACTGAGATGGAATGTAAACTATGGTCCAAATGTCATGTATTTGTAACTAAACAGTGTCAACTCCGCCAAAGTGCTTTAAACTAGATTGATATCATCAAAAACACTTCTAGACATCACATATGCCATAAAGAATGAGTTTCAATATTTGATATTGTGAATAGACTCTGTTGGATACCATCCCTATAAATATAACGAGATGAAAAGTGTCAACATTCAATTTCACATACATGTTACTATGAAGAGTCGTCATACCATCATCTAGATAGGTAGTATTTCAAGTTTCAGTGGAATTGACAGTCTAGATATTGAGATGTGTATACTAAGGTTGAAGAAGTGTCACCTTCACTGATTACTGACATGAATATAATAATTGAATATATGATTCTTGTATAATTAATTCATTATTCAATGATTTTGATATGATGGTAAAATTTAATTTTGAAATTAAGATTCTTCCCTATTGATTACCTTAGATTTTCCTTAGTTGACTTGAAGATATTGAGCCATCAATTTGAAACTTTCTCAGATTGTTCTCCTCATCTAGGGAAGTGTATTCATATTTGATACTTGTATGATATTTTGTAAAATGAATGAGATGGATTATATTCAATGTGTTGAAATATGACAATTTGACAGATTGTTATTATTATCATACTGAATTCAATTCTAAAACATTAAAATTGATTCCAGATGTATATCAGCGTGATTAAATGTATCTGGTAAAGTTACATGACGGTTGGAGGTACTTTCGCTGAGATAGAACGTACACTTGGATATAATCACTCTTGACATTGAACATTTACTGATTGACTGAATGAAAGTATCATGAATTGTTTCTAAACTTGTATAGATGTATATAAATGGTGTACAGAATGTGTATTATCAATTCTAGACTAATTACATATAAAATAAGTGATTTGGAGCATAATCTTTGATTTTATGTCAAAGTTCTATAGTAAAATGATAGAGTTGTCAACTCAATATCTACTGAGCCAATATTCATGAAATTGATACCATATGCTAATTAGAGTGTCTACATATCATGATATTAATTTCAGTGATAATGGAGTTGTTTCCATATCTTTCAGATTTCCAGCCATTCCATTGAATTACCATCATGTACTATCTACCGGATTCATTTCTTGAAATGAAAAGGGGGGTTTGGTTAGGATTCAGAGTTGATTTATTTGGGTTATTTAAGAGATTACTTAGTGAAGATTCATATCATTGATTATATTTCTTATCATCTATTAATGATGTAAATTTGATGTTTTCATTTCTTGTATTGATAGATATTTAAAGGTCAGGTCAGTACTAACTTTTGAATTATGGACTTTTAGAAGTCAAATGTTTGGGACGTGAATCTACTCATTAGATTGAATAGGTATTGCTAATAAAGGAACATTTCATTGATTTATTGAATATAACGGTCAAATTGAGTTGAATGGAAGTGATTCTTATGTTGATTGATCGTGGATGGGTAGTTTCGCCACGAAGTGGTGCAACTACCAACCTTTGTAGATTGAATCAGGTTGATTTGCATGCAATATGAAATATGTAGCATTATCAAGAATCAAGAGAGTGATTATTCACCAATTCAATGATCAATATTCAATAATCTGTTTGATTTCAATCAATAGCTTTATCATCAAGCTTTGAATATTAATATTCCAGTAATTAACGGCAGTCTATTTTTAAATTTAATCAAAGACCATATATAGCATCTTGACTTTTGTGATCTGGAAACTATCTAGATGTGTTCTATATTGAATAATCTATTTGAAAATGAGAAGAATTAACTCTTCTATTGAGTTTTATTGGTAT